CGAAGGGGCACACGCATCGGGCAGGATCCGAGCTGAACAATCGAAATGGCTTAGAAAAATGAGCGGCTTCTTTGAGATTTGTCAGCTCGCCACGTCTTACACGCACGAGGGTAAACATTTCCTCGCAGGCACTCGCCCTCCGTGTCATGTCTCACCAGCCAAAGTCTCCTCACGGAGGGCTGAGGGCGGAGATTCGACAAGCAAAAAATGCCGTTCAGATCCAAGAACAAGCTGTATCGCTAAGGCGGGTCTCTAGTGGGGAATCTTGTCGGGAAACTTCTTGGATACCTACAAAACGCAGCCGGATAGAACAACGCGTTCAAGCTCCTTCGTGTAGCCGAATGCAACAGACGAATGTACTGCTCCGGAGAATTTACTCATATACCGCTGTGATTGCTGCAGCTGCGTGCGGGAACAAAGGATCCCACGGACCGGCCCGTAGAGAGAACACCAGCTGCAAGACTCGATTTGTTTCTCAATCCTATCACAACATAATCTGAACTGTAGGAGGGCTAGCTCAGGCACATTTCAGCATCCAAGAGTCGCTCACCCTAGAACTCGATAGAGAGGTGGGAGGTGTAGTTTCTGATTTCCCTGCTCCCTTCCAACCATTCTGGCATCGACACGCGCCGGGTCACGACGGAGCGATTCCGGTCGGTATTTTTCTGTTGTCCGCTCATGTTTCCTCTGCATAGAGGATAGATATAATATCTTCGATCAGGCTCTGTCGAATTTCGCCTATACGCGAGGGTGGCGGGGGTCTTCCATTATCCTGCAGGAGAGCGAGCTCTGCATGTCGTTGTTGGCGCCTGGGAAGGCATTCCTACGTCTTCGTCACGACTATGGGTCGCAAATCGGACGCGTGGACCCGGCTTACGGATCCGGGTCTACGGCATCCCCCAGGGTTCGAAAAATCGAGCTCGGGCCCGGGTCTTTGCGACCCGTAGTCACAGCCCAGCTATCCTCGGTTCAATGAGAGAGTCAGACAGATGGAGCCGGCCAGATCCTCGCCCCCGACAGATTTTTTTCCGCTTATTCGACCTCATTGCTATTACAGGATCCCCGAGAGGATATGGGAAGTTCTCTACAGCTGGTGGTTCAATGCCATCGTCGTTTTACTGGTTTGCATCCAGGGATTCAGTGTTATCATCGTCATTTTCATTGACACAGAGATGACAAGGATCAAGGGTTAGCATTTTTGAGGCGAATGCTCTGCAGGTGCTCCTCCCGATAATGCGAGAATAAAAAACTGAACTTGCATCAGCTCACGAGGGGAGCCCAGTTGCTCCGTCGAATCCCTTTGTCGGAAGTCGGGACTCGCTTGTTGCAACGCGAAAATCGACGTCGACGAAAATCTAATTTACCGTCCCCTTGTGTCGCACAGAATACTCGCCGGAGAATCCTTTGGCCGTGTGGCGGAACTGCAGCGAATTCCGACCCTCATTTCTGAATAATGCGGATCCCGAGCGCCCCAGGATGATATGCGGGGGATTGGTCGCTGGCATTCAAGTCCTCTTCTTCATTGAAATTATCATCAAAATATTGACTGGTTTCGGTCGTTTCGACTTCGACATTTGCGAGGTGAGTTCTCAATCTGTCGGGTTATTGGGGAAGAATAGGGGTCGAAAAATGCCAGCCGGATTCCTCTGCCCTGTACACAATATTCCAAGGCTACTCCAAGGCTATTCGCGTTTAGAGGAGCTCAAAACGGGTTGTAGCCCGTCGGCAAGAGTTCGGCTCGTCCCGCGAGGAAAGGAACCTCGTATACTCTCCCGCCCCGCTAATAGAACATATTCCACGTTCAAGAGAATATCGAAGCCCTACTCCGGGCGTTTCAAGAAGAACTTACTCTCTCGATGCTCGCGGGAACTTTCGCAGATCACCGATATCCTTTTCGTGGTTGGAGTCACCGGATTCGATGTCTACTATACGATTCGCCTTTCGAGGACTGACGAGGGCCGCTATTTGCAATTACTCGTTCTGGTCCGACTGCTCCGCGTGGTGCGCGTGGTGCAAGCTCTCGCCGAGTGCCAGAATCGAGATTTGACGGACTTGCTTAAAGACACCCAGCGTTTCAAGGAGGTTTCCGACGACCAGGCTGAACTCCTACTCCTAAAACTCGAGGATTGCAGGGTAACTCGACCTAGATGGGAGCTTAGGCTCTCCAGAAGTAGTTTCACGCGGAAACTTGAAATCGAGTCTTCCTCAGTGCAAACCGCTGAAACTCTGTATTCTTCTCTCTTCCAGCGAGAGATTGCACAGCTCAAAAAAGAAGATGACGAGCGGCCTAAAAAGGGGCCCGGCAACCGTCGACTCCGTGGAACCCAGTCGCTGACGTCGATATACGAACCGGCAGTTCAAAGTTACGTCCGGCAGAGAGTCAAAACACGGCCGTCCATCGAGAGCAACGCTCATACCCAGACAGAGGGTTTCTCATGCGATCGTTGTAAGCTCCCGCAATCGGTGGAATTCATGGCGGCTCGTGTGAGCTACCTAACCTTGACGAGCGCCCTGGACGAAATTAAGGGTCGGACCTCTTGTTCGGGAACTTTCGAGCACGTCGCACCGCAAAGAACTTTGATCTCGAGCGAGCGGCGGGCCGAACGCTCCTCCCGCCGAACAGCGCATTCTGTGCTCGACGCAAGTGGTCCGATGTGTTCGACTCCGACGATCTCACCAGGGCTGATGTCCTTGGAAAGCGGATACAACTCTTCGCTGTGTTCGGAGAGATATCGCCTATCATCCAGTTCTCCCTTTTCAACTTACAAGTGAGAAGCTTTCAGATAGAAATTACTTGCTTTTATATCGACGACTGCGTGAGCATCGTGTGGTGGTGCAAGAGAACCTGGACGTCGGCGTCGCAGACATTGGCGAGGGCGCAAACGATGACGGTCTGGGGAACAGATTGAGAACTATCCTGTTTTTCCAGCGAGAGTGCTCCTCCCACATCTAGCTCGCACTATTCGTCTCGACGGAGCACGGTGTTCCTCTTCCCCGACGCTCGACACAGTGACAGCCTCGAATCTCAGGTTAGTGATCATTTGATCATGAATGTCAAATTTCCATAGAGGCATAGAGAATGAGGAGAATCATCAGTGGATCTGAGATGCGGCAATGATTAAATTGTTTTCAATCTTCGCTCTCTCTAGACCGGGAACATTGAACTCAACGTGCTGGACGAGGTGTCTGAAGTCAGTCCAGCCGAGGGCTCTGACGCGTGAGTTCAGAGCTTTCTTTCTGGATGGGAGCGGGAGAAATAACTAGGCGAAACGATGGCCATTTTGGCGCTTCATGAACAATGGGGACTCCTTCTCCACATACCACTTGGATCACCCAGCGAACGGCTGGGAAATTAGGCGGAGATAATGGTGACGAGGGAAAATACGGGGTGAGAGCCTGAATAGGAGTCAGTGCATGTTACGACCGATTGCTAATCGAAGCTTCGAAAAGCGAATCGATTCGCCAGCTATATCTCGGTCTGTATCTCTTGCGGTGGCCCCATCCATGCGCCGAGCTCCCAGATTTTGGTGAGCCTGAATACTCGTCCTATAGTCCAGATTCGCTTCAAAGCTCTGTGCTTCTCAGGTCGATTCCACGGAGCTGATCATCGACGAATATGGGATTGCAAACGAGTGTAGCAGCTCAACGTGGCTTCGTCGGCATCGGAATTCTATTGCCAATCGAATAGACCAATATCGGTGGAGCAGATATATGCAGGAGGGAATGAAAGACGATGAATGAGTACAAATCGCGTGGAGAAACTGCGTGCCACAAAGTTCGCCAATTCAATGGCACGCGATCAAGCAGCACGTAGACCCCCCTGGCGAACGCGTCGTGCACAGGCATGATTTCTACGATGCGCTTTCCAATCCGTGTGTGGAGCGATTTCCCTCATAGAGGAAGCATCCGACGTTTCGATGGGAATGCCCCGCTCATTGTTTGAAGCAAAGTGCCCCTCGTGATATATCATATTCATTCCTAGATGTATCGGAGCGCTGCCGTACATGAAACAAAGGGATTACTAGCGGAAAAACTCGACTCGCTGTTTGAGGTGAGTTCCGAAATTACTCGGAAATGCCAATGCCGCCGGATTTGGGGTTGCTCAGGGGAGCGTTCCGGCATCGGTCGAACATAGTTCATTCGATCAGAGCTGAGCGTCGGACTAGACGGGCATATGTAGGTATATCCGCCGCACTTGCGCATGATAATCATTAGTACAGTTTTCCGCTATCTCAGACGCATGGAACGACGTCTCTCGCTGGTGGAGACATTCAGCTGATATCTCGCTGCTCTTCTTGTTGACCATTCGGGCGACATCGTCTCCGCTTCTCCTGCTAGACATTTCGAATTACGATTACAGAAGATAACTGTCCACCACCACGGAACCTTTGACAGAGAGAGTTTCGCGTTCAGCATATCATCCGGCTTCTGGTGAAGTAACAATCCATATGATATTTTTCCTTTTCTAATTCTCCTCGCTGGAATCATGTATCGGGGTGCTGATCTCCGGCAATCCGAAATGACGGACATGTGAGCATATACCTAGCACTGAATACTAAAAGTATTGTGTAATTCACCTCTATTCAGTCTGAATAATAGAAATATTCTGTCTGAATACCAGAAAAATTCAGCCTCATTACTCGGAATACGCAGTCCGGGTACTCAGAATATTCTGCCTTGATACAGAAAATGTTCTGTCTCGCTACTTCTGTCTCGAATACGGGGGTCTGGTGATCGGGATCGCTCGAACAATATTGATCGAGTGAACTTTTTCTTCTCTGTTGATGAAGCCTACTGCCTCTCAGGCTCATCGGTCACTCCAACAAGGTACTCGTGCGGCAGGACAAGAGAGAAGCTCGACAGAATACGAGAGACTCCTGAAGACTGTACGATTCCTTCATATTACTCATTTGTATTCGGATCTGATCGACGCGCCGCGAGGTCGCTCAACACTCGTTGAGGAGGGCTCTGGCGGCCGCGGAAGACGAATTTCGATTTCCACGAACTCGAATTTTTATTAGGTCTGATGCCATCGGTATGAAACAGATCGAATTTGAAATGAGGTGTTCACGGAGCGTCGATCATCGTGCGACCTGGAAAAAATCAATATTAGTCGGGAAACTCCCCAGTATCGTAACACTGACGAATCAATTGATGAAAATGAGGAATGAGAAACAAACTATCAAAACAAGACGAGGGGAACTAAATTGATGATAGCGGCGTAAAAATCAAATACTACATCTCACAGGCGAGAAAATAATAGAACTATTCGGACATTTACGGGGGGAGTCATTCCCGTGACGGAGTCCGAAAATGAGATGGAGGAACCGAAGACGAGGGGAGGCAGAAATGGGAACGGAAGTAGGTTGGAAGAAAGTGCCGGTTCATGACGAAAATATCGAAACAAGATAAAAACAGGAGCGACTCCGGAGTCTCATCGGAACTCTGGGCTCTCGTAATGGGGATCAGATTGTTGAAGAGCGCCGCTGTATCAGAACCCGGGTCAGTCAACTGCAGCTTCCTCGAGCGATCGATGAGAGGCGAATCATCGGGAACTTTCGGGACGCGACGCCTCAGAACAGTTACTTCAGAACGTGCTTCACCGCCTAACGGAACTGTCGTTGATTTCTCGCTCTCTTCTCAGACAGTATCCGCTCCTTGTCCTCTCCTTCTTTCTTTGAGATCGACAGTGGTGCGGCCTAAAGATAGAGAGAAGGGGAAGGACACATAGGTGGTCCGCCGCCTATACGGGAATCGGCATTGTGAGCGCGTCTCGTTTTTGCAGGAACAAGCGTCAGCAGCAACGGCACCAAAACGTCAGCCAGCTCTACACTCAGGTCAACCCTCGAATCGATGTCGTGATCTGCTTCTCGAACTCGAACAGGTTTCACAGCTCACTCAGCAACTACCACAGCACCTCCGCACTGCGGCGCCTACAAAGCAGCAGCTTTTTAATCTCTAGTACAAAACACCAACAACTCGACTGCGAGTTTCCTTGCCCAAGACTTCGATAATTCGCTCGATTTCCCATGAGAAAACTATTGGAACGTAGAACTGCCTAGATGCGGGTATATTGAGAGAGTTGAGGGAGAGACCCTGTGTTTCAATTGAGATTTTCGAGATTCCAAATGCCCAATCTACGTTCTCGCACAAACTTTCGTCCCCTCTTCTAGACTGCCACGCAGCCTTTGAGTACTCGAGAACTGAGATTGAACGGTCTTCGAGAATCGTGACAGACCTCGCTGATCGGCGAGGATCGGCAGCACCGTTCCGTCAACGAAATCTCAAACCGCAAAATCGGCAGATCCGCTTGACCCGCAGAATAGCTACGAACATCGAGGGAAGCTAAAGAATGAGGTGTGGGCTCCTCTACTCACAATCGTTCCTCGAATTTTTTTTCCGTGGGTTCGATTCGGTCCCTGCGGCTCAGTCGTCCATGTCATCGTGAGAGTCCTCGGGCGAGCGATTCCTTCCGTTACGGTCATCCTCGACGCTACCCTCTCGGGATGCGCTTCTGTCTTTCGATGCTTCCCTGGAACGATCTCCAGAGCGCTCTCGCTCCCGGGAACCGGCTCTGTCGTCCGAGCGTTCTCTCGAATCGTCCCGTGAGCGACGCGTCTCGTCATTGGATCGTTCTCGAGACCTCTCCTTAGCAGGAGATGCGGATTTCCTGTCACTGCGCTCATCGTCCTTGGATGTCGACCGTCGTTTTGAGTTGGAACGAGATCTCCGGCGGCGAGTTTCAGAGCGGGATCGGCTGCGTCTGGAAAGAACAGGACCATTCGCGTCAACCACTTCCAAGGACAACCATCCGCGCCCGAGGATGGTTGAGCCTTTCGAGAGGCGGGAAATTCGGGGATCGATCTGCGAAATCGTGATCGCCAATCGAAGAGCCAGACGATACTCACCTCTCCCGGGATCGAGAGCGACTACGTCTCCGGCTGTGACGGTCCTTCGACCTCGAACGATCTCTGCCACTGCGTCCACCCGGGCGCGCATATTTGGCCATGGCGATGCGGAGCTCACGACCGTCAAGTCTGCGATAAAATTGGATATTCATCATCCGGTGGGATTCAGATTCCTACAGTATCCAGCGGTCGGGATCAATATCGGATCGATTTTCCATCGCCCGCTGGGAAGCTTCTTTCAGATTACCTGTAGCCATCGAGTGCGTCCATGGCTTCTTCGGCATCGCGCCGGTCGAAAAACCTCACGAAAGCAAAGCCGCGAGACTCATTGTTTCGCGGATTACGGGGTATGTACACATCACCGACATCACCGTGTTTCCTAGAGATGGTGATTCAGAATCGAGAGGGATTCATATGATGCTACCGACGCGGTCCAAAGCCGAAAACTCATATGGAGATGAGAACGCAACTCTCTTCCAAGGCACAAACCTGAATACACGTTTGAGATCTTCAACTGTGGTTCGGTAGGTGAGGTTGTCAACTTTCAAAGAGACCATGCCATGAATATCAGGGGGTCCGTTTCCGCCGCGAGACATGGTGACGAATTCGGAAGAGTAATTCGTATTCGGAGGAACGACGCTGATGAGATGAGCTGAGGAGTCAGTGAGCGAAGGAACTTCGTATCACATGCGCCTCCGAGAGCGGTCCTTCGAAGTTTATATACAAAGCGTTGGCTCTTACCCGTGCGTAGAAGATCCCACACACGCTCTCCGGGAGACTCTCCTCAGAGCGCTCTGCTGCTATCCCTCAGAGCGAGATTCGACGCAATGCTAATTTCTCATTCTCGAGGAACAGTCATCATGCCAGTACGGATAGAGTCGATGGGTTTTGCTTCTTTGTCCGCATTCTAATGTATCGATATCCCATCAAGTTGGAGAAAGTATCGCGTGGGAGAGAGGGTCGGAGAAGCACACAGATGCTCAAGTTTCGGCTTCAAAAAAGCCCGCGCAAGCCGCGACGCTCGAAATCCGTGTCCTCTTGGATTGCGAAATCGAGATTCGAGAGTCCGACCATGAGCTTTATGATCGAGCTCTCGAATAATAATCATCGACGATTGAAACCAAGTTCCTGAAAGATCGTCCGCGACAATGAACGCCGGAGGGCAGGCGGACAGAGGGCAGATTACCCTCAGGTGCCGCTCGGATGACGATCAATTCAGGTTTCCGCGGGAACTCCACTCTCCGAGGCACCCTCGAGAGTGCAGGATGCTCGCGATAATCTCAGAATGCCATCAGAGCCGAGCCCTCAGAATCACGGATACGGCGCGGCGAGACTCGTTGGGGGAATCGGAAGAAGTAGGTTCCCAGACGTGGATCAGATCAGACTCGAATATTACTGCTCGCTCCAAGGCAATGCGTTTGGCTCATTGTCAGAGTAGCTCTTTGAGCGCTCCATTCGCTCCGCTCTTCCGTGTCATTGATTCATCTCAATCATTGCAGAATAAGATTGGTGGAAATCTCCGTGTCGTGTGAACTCGCTCCGGGACACCATCGGAGACGGGATGTCGTGAGCCTCTAGAGACCACATCGGAGGAAAACACGAAAGGGGCCGGCAGCTCAAGCCTTCCGTTTTGGAGACAACTTGGAGTTTACGAGTCTTTATTGAAGGAGGCACAGCCATAAGGGGAGGCGGGAATCGTTGGTCACCTCCATTTGATTTGTGCAAGACCATTACATGCTAAAAATCATCCTTCGCTCCATGTAGTAGCCACATATTCCGATTTGATGGCGTGATGTTCATGGTGTGACGGTCACCGGATAAGCTGGAAAAAGAATGTCCTGAATCCGAAGTCCCCAATTGCGATCTCACTGGATGCGAGCGAGCAGAGGGGACAGCCCAGACAGAAATCCCAACTCCGAGATCATTGTCATATGACAGTCTACAAACGTCAATCTGCGGGGACAGAAAGCGTCGTGAAGGAGAAGTCTCAGAATCGCGCCGGTAGACTGATTTGGGGATGACTCCGGCTGTTCGAACAACCGGATCCGGACGAAGGGGCTCAGCGGCCAAAGACCACCTACCCTCAACGGATCCGGACAAAGGGGCTCAGCGGCGAAAGACCCCCTACCCTCAACGGATCCATAATGGAGACTGCAGCAGCTCTGGCCCATCCATCCGGAAGCGGGGAGCGCTTACAAATCTAGACTAACTTTTCCCCTCAAGCATCATCCCCAGCTCCAGGTTCGATGATGCGATACTAAAGTCTGCGCCTCTGACCCGGGATTTCTCGAGAATGATATGAGGCGCAGACTGGATCGATAAGAAGTCCAGCGAAGGATCAGATCGACAATCGCGTTGCTTCTTCAAACGCTTCACAGCTCCATACTTGGCTTAGGGTGGGAGTCTATGCCTTCAAGACTACTCTTAGAGGATTTCAGCACATTCTCTACAGACATTTCGGGAGCGGCATCCGGGTCCGTCTCGGTACAGTCCCGCTACTATGAGTTCCTTTCCTCCGCTCAATGTATATTAGGGAGCGCCGGCAGTCTTACAATGAAGTCTTTGATGATCTTTTCTGTGATCCTCTGGCTTCATATGATCAGCTCACTCCTCTGTGTCTTCGTGAGAGCTAGCGGGAGAACGACTCCTCTGGCGGCGATCTTTCTCGGTGCTTCCTTCTCTAGACGCGCTTCTTTCTCTCGATGCGTCTCTCGAACGATCCCGCGCCTTTTCCCGCGCAGGGGACTCATCTCTGCCGTTGGACCGCTCCCTAGAACCGTCTCGGGACCGTCGGGCTTCTTCAACAGAACGATCGCGCGACCTCGTCGCAGGAGGCGAAGAGGATTTCTTATCTTTGCGCTCATCATCTCTGGAGTTGGACCGTCTCCTGAAACGAGTCGAATTGGGGACGATGTTGACGGAATTCTGTAGAGGAGAAAATCGGCCGCATACTGAGACGAGGTTCGACCGACGAAAACCAATATCGTCACGTAGTATGAGAATTTTGTCTTCTTTCTGACCTGTCTCGCGAGCGAGATCGACTTCGCCGTCGACTGCGGCGATCCCTCGACCTTGACCGATCCCTACCACCGCTGCGACCGCCTGGTCGAGCGTATTTGGCCATCGCAATGCGCAGCTCGCGACCATCGAGTCTGTGGAAGAATTCGGTACAGGAAATTACTTCCCGAGTCTGGAGCTTTGAATTATGATTCGAGGTCGGAAAATGAATTGGCTTCGCGATGCTTCCTCGAGCCCACCTGTAGCCATCGAGTGCGTCCATAGCTTCTTCCGCGTCCCGCTGGTCGAAAAATCTCACGAAAGCGAAACCTCGAGATTCATTGTTCCGCGGATTCCGAGGGATATACACATCACCGACATCACCATGTTTCCTATCGAGAAGCAGGAAAAACATGAGTCGGCTTCGATCCGCACTGGAGGATCAGAGCGCCTAGTCTAGTAAGTTCTAAATCTAGTTCAGTTCAAGAGAAATACTCCGCTCAGCGGATAAGCTCGCAACGAACCTGAAAACTCTTTTGAGATCTTCTACTGTTGTACGGTAGGTCAGATTGTCTACTTTCAGAGAGACCATTCCATGAATATCCGGAGGTCCGCGCCCGCCGAAAGACATATTCAGGGCTCGAAATACGTATGGAAAACCGAGGTATTAAGAAATTCCAACGAGTGTCCCCGCTGAATGTATTGAGAGGTTCTCGAACACACGATATCTATTGTCTCAGCTGCCGCACTCCACTATGCTCGGGAGGATTCTTCAAATCTCGTCGAGTGGAGGAGATCCCGGCGACAACGACGCGGCTCGATCAGATGGGCCGCTCGATGGCGCGGGCTTTTCTGAACTCGACGAACCCTCGCGCTCATCGAGGAGTGCTGTTCGATTCGCTCTGAAACAAATCACTCGACACTAGGATGATCGGATCCATGGGTCCGGATAGAGATTGACGCTTGACGCTTCGTCTCGTTGGTAGGTAATCGAGAAGCATGTATTCCGCCCGAAAGGAAGGCGAAATCGATGCTGCTCCGCAGATTTTAGGCGCGTGTGTGGGGTTCCTCGGAGCGCCAGTCGTCTGCGTGTGATGTGTGTTCTAGACGATGTGGGAAAACACCATCAACTAACAAATACATGGACTCACATAGATTATGTGGAGTGGCGAAGTAATCGCCTGTGAATTTGACAAAAAATTGACGAGTGCTTCGTAGATTCGAGAACGTGAGTCATGAACCGGGACTACGGATCTATCCAAATAAAGTTTTTCGGTGTGGTGCAGTCTCGAAGGGGGTAGCGCCCCGCACCAATATTCTCGGATGGAGCCGGAAATGACAGAACTCTCAAACCTCAACTTTTCCTAATTTCAGCTAAACCCCAGCAGTGTAATCATGGGGACGGTCATTGTCGGTTCCGACATCGATTCGTGGATCAAAGTGGCACAAGAATGCAAATATCTACCGGAGTCGGACCTGAAGGTAAGGAAATCTACCATCTCCGACATCATATTTTATTTTAAAAGAGAGCCGCGCCGGAAAGTGACTCAATCAAATGGCTGACGCCATAGATCCGAAAGAAGTCGATGTGATGAGAAAATTATGTCTCTGCGGTCTGGTCTCGAGTACTAAGCGTTCGGCGCGTTTTCAGAAACTGTGCAATCTCGTCTGTAACATTCTCATCGAAGAAAATAACGTCCAGCCCGTATCCACCCCTGTGACCGTCTGCGGGGATATTCATGGGCAATTCTACGATCTTGAAGAGCTCTTCCGATGTGGGGGACAAGTGCCAGAAACGAATTATGTGTTTATGGGTGATTTCGTCGATCGCGGCTACTACTCACTGGAAACATTCACTCGGTTATTGACGCTCAAAGCAAAGTGAGTTCGCGGAATGAAAGATCTCGGAAAAATTTTGACATCTCCGGGGGTGCCGGATGTGCTGAGAAACTGCGAGCGAGAAAAGCGTCCAGTCTGAGAAGATTCCCTTCATTTCAGGTGGCCAAACAAAATAACGCTGCTTCGAGGCAATCATGAATCGAGACAAATCACTCAGGTCTACGGGTTCTACGATGAGTGTCAGCAGAAATACGGAAACGCCAACGCCTGGAAGTATTGTTGCAAAGTCTTTGATTTGCTCACGTTGGCAGCCATCATAGATGGGGAAATCTTTTGCGTTCATGGAGGACTCAGTCCTGAGATCAAGGCTCTCGATCAGGTTTGTCCCCCCCTCGGGCGTTCGCCTCATTTCAAGGCATAGGCAGAAATCGATTTATTGGGAATGTCTCTCTGCCCACGTCGGGTTGGTCTACTCACGCTGTCCTCTTCTCGCCGTCCAGATCAGAACGATCCAGCGAAATCAAGAAATTCCACACAAGGGCGCGTTTTGTGATCTCGTCTGGTCAGACCCTGACGAAGTGGATTCTTGGTGCTGGAGTCCCCGAGGTGCCGGTTGGTTGTTCGGAGCGAAAGCCACGCATGAGTTCATGCAGTACAACGGCTTATCTCTGATCTGTCGTGCGCATCAGCTGGTCCACGAGGGCTACAAGTATATGTTCGATGACAAACTCGTCACGGTATGGTCTGCGCCGAACTACTGTTACAGGTCTGTGGCTTCCTTGCTTATACCTCGCGATTCCTCATGGGCGGCTTTCCAGACTCGCTCAGGCGGGGTTCACTTATTTCACCGTTCATCGTCTCTTCTCTCAGGTGTGGGAACGTGGCCGCAGTATTGGAGATCAGCGATCCCCAGAATAAAAACCCCAAGATCTTCGACGCCGTGCCTGACAACAAACGAGTTATTCCGGAAAGAGTTGTAACACCATATTTCCTCTAGGTTTCCGTATTTGTAAAGTGATATGAGTAGGAATTCATTTCGAAAAGCGGGTCGTCCATGAACGTCGGCTTCGTTCTCTTCTGAGGAGAATGCACTGTTTTGTAGACAGCTTTCGGTCGTGATCACATGGAGTATATGAGCGACGAATACGAATAAATTATAGTCGAATTAAGACGCAACCCTCGAGAGAGCCGATGTCCTCCCTGAACGAAACACGAGACAATTCGCTGTCTATGTTCCACTGACCTACCTACTGACGGACTATTGTGATCAAGAATAGCAACGGTTAGACTTATCGAACTACCTGGCCGGATCCCCGACTCGGGGCGGAATTTAGCTCTGAGCGTCCGACGAAACCGCTCCTGCAATGAAGTCCGGGAGGTTTTGCCCTTGGGGAGAAGGCTCGAGGCACGGAGCCTAGCGCGAGATCTTTCTCGTTCTTTCCAGCCATCATCTTCACATGCTTGCAAAGTAAGGGCTCGAACCGGTAAACGGGCCTCTCAGCTGGACCCTCCGAGAGGAGCTCTTTAGCATCTAGCACCCCGATCCCGGAAAATAAGTGGCGTAGGTTCCGAAGAGAGCCTAAGGAGAAAAGAAGTCCTTGTGGGAAGGTCAGCAGCCGCAGTTGCACTCGGCGAATAGAAAGCTCCCTGGAGGAATCATCGGTGCACTCGACGGATCAACTTCAAAGAAGAAAGATTCTCCCGAAAAGTTCTCGAGGCCGGTTGGCGTCCCGTTTCCCCACGCGCCGCACATCCTGATATCAGAAGAATTATCGGGTAGCCGAGAAACGACACAAGAAGAACAAACGGGAACGGTACGTGAAAGCCCGGAACGGCGCATGGCAAAACCTCAGGAATTAAAGGCGAGCGCCGCGTTCGACAAATCCGTCCCGGGGGGATTTTTCGCCACCCAATAACTCAAAATGAAGATTTGTAGTGAATGCGGGCGAGGACAGTCCTTCTAGACTCCGACTCCTGTCAGGAGCTTTCCTAATTGGGGAGAAATATTTGGATTGGACAAATCAATCCTTGTGCGGAGCCGTTGGCAGCCACCTCCTCGGGATCCACATGAGGGAGATCAGAATAGAGGAGCATCTGCATTTCGCTCGGCCGGAATTGAACTTATGTTGCCAGCGGTTCCTGGAAAGGTCAAGAATTTCCTCTTGTCTCACTATTCCGTCCCTCATGGCGATCCGCCCTTTCGCACAACCTAATTCACGGAGCCTGAGAGAAATAATGTCACGCGATACCTCGGTGTCCGCGGCCGACTTGGGAGATTCCCCACAAGCCAGAAGCACGCCGCGCCGTAGCAGTCTTCTCACGTTGCAAGAATCGAGAATAAGCACAGACTTCCGAAGATCCTGGGTACGACGTTCGGCCTCGATGGCAGTCCGCACGCTCTGATGCGGGAGGCTTCTTCCGTCTCTTGTTCCGATGAAGTTCGACCTCTCGAGGAATGACTCGTCGAAAGCGCGGATGTCTTACCATTTAACTTGATTCTCATACTGGGTAAGAATGCTCATCCAGCCGGCCCAGCGCGTGACTCCGAAGTAAGAATGTGAGCAGAATTCGTGAATGATTCGTTTTGCTCTGATCGAGACTAATCCTCGCTTCTCCACGGGGTTGACGACAAAACTACGTTAGAATATAAGGAATCACTCGAGTAAAAGTACATCTGAGCCGTGGAAGCCGGCCGACCGGGATGGAAGGGTGCGCTCGGATCCTGAAGGAAATATGGCTCAATATACTATAGCCAGATGGCATCGAAATACTGACCGATTCCCCCAAACGGGAATCATCGGTCCACCCTGAGAGTGAGTGCCTGTCCTCTGCGGTCAACGAAAGGAACAGCTGTTGACGTAATGGGGACTCGAATTCGCCGCTGTCTCCCAGACCATTTGACGAAACTTCCGTGGAACGGCATCCTGATTGGAACATGTCAGACCGGTTCAGAAGAAAAACTCCGGGACGCTGTCTGATATCATCCCCAGCCGACTCTCAAACACAGATGCGGTCTCTGCCACGGAAACGCGTTTTTAACCGTCAAAAAAACCCGCGTCCCTTATGTCGGCCCTCGTCTCTTCATTGAATGCTTGGCGACCCTCACAAAGCATCAATGTGAGTGATCGCTCCGGCCGGATAGTTTCGAGGTTCAGCAGCTGGAGAACGCGCGGAGGGGTTTTTCCAGGAGCGCATCTAGTATTGTACACAAGAACATGTCACGATACAGACCGGGCTCGCAGATGTCGAGACCGAAGAAAGAAGCACAATGTGACGATTCTGAGGCTCGAACCGCGTCCTGCGACATTGAAGCATCCGTGGCTGCTCTTGCGGAGAATACAGCGAAGGCGCAACTTCAGAGATACAGAAAGGGAGCGGACGAATTCTGAACTTCACCTTTTATTCTCATTGAAAGGCCACCGGTAACCCCAATCGGTGAGGCATCCGCGCGGTCACAGGGTAGCTTAGCTAAACGAATTATCCCCCAACTTTCTATATACAGCGAGACTGGTAATAAATAAACGATTCAGCTCGTCACGGAACCATTAAAACGAGAAAATGCTCTCCGAGACCAAAGAACAACATTGTCATATAACGAAACAAAAGACAGGCATCAACGAAGCCTGACAGAGCTGTACAAATCCGTGCTCAGCATAGCCGGTGGACGTCATAAATGTGTGGAGTTCCTCGAATCAAGCACGAGCTCGTTTCCCTGCCGGAGCTTCTCGTTTAGTCAGTATATGTGGTAACTAGTGTCCGGCGAGGCACGGGAACTGGTCTCCGCACTGCCGCACATGAACGTGCTGCTTTTAGTTTGCCGATAGATAATGACGAGGAGAACTCCCACCGCTACGAGGAGGGCCAGAGCAACGGTCAACATGGAGTAGGCCAGGGTGCGGTACACAGGATCCACGAGACTCGATCCTGACAAGGCAACCTGAAGGCAGAAAACAGCGTCAGCAGATGCCTCACAACGAGTCGGATACCGAAGAAGCTTACCCGTCTTTTCTGCTCACCTGTGAAATCGTCTGAGAGCTCTCTCTGCCATCGTACGCATTCGGCAAGACAGATCTCCACAGAGCAACGCTTTCCGCTTCGAACGCGTCTAGGGGTGATGGGCGCAAAGATCGCCCGATACGGTAGACGGTCACGTTCGAAGGGCTCGACGCCGCAAAGGGCAGGTACTCGGGGTCAGGATTGGGGACGGGATTCCTGCGAAATGCCGTCTTTAATGCATCGGGATTAGGACAACTTTTTCTGGGGAAATCGTGCAAATGATCGAGGAGGACCCCGATTCCGAATGAGACCCATTCACTCCCTAAAAACGAATCGCGGCATCGAGAAGGAAGAAGGGGGGAGCGCGATTTCCGCGCTGGATCGCTGTCTGCCATGAGCCGAGTGACTTCCCTGAAGCATAGTGAGCGATTTCTCGAGCGGCGATCTGCGATACCTATTTTGAGCTTTCTGGCGCTCGCCGCCAACGATTTTCCGAAAAAGTGAACCAATAACTCGGGCTTGCATAATCGACCGCAGCAAGCAAAACAACTACAGGATGTTCGCAGAACGCGGAAATCGGGAGCGAATGGAAGCACACAAGGTCGCTGCAATCCTTGGCCACGTCCGGCGTGACGCAGGGCTGCAGAGCAACAAAATAAAATTAGGAGCTACCGCACTTATCCGACTCGTTTTCGATCCAGACGAGAATTCTGGGTTAGCAGTGGCCACAGCGCGGGCTTTGACGGTCCCGAGATATTTAGGACGAGGAGCAGCGGCGGCGGCTTTAGCCGAATGACCGGAGCGTCATTGTGGAGTAATAGAGTTGAGTTTCTGTTCCGAGGCTTAATTGCGCTCGGTGGGTCCGTTCAGCGAGCTTCATTTGCACACGTCAGGAGTTGACGTGGGGTCAGCGCTTGGAATGATTCGGAAACGTCGCGCCAGTGGTCTCGGCGAGACATCGTCATTCGTTCGCGCGTATATCGACGCCGACTCGCTTTTGACTCAGGGATGTCGGACCATCGGAACCAGGCCTTCCGCGGCGACAGCCTTCCCAGCTCGACGCGAGTTCGCAAGAACCGGCGATTATTCCAATCAGGCTGGTACCGACGGTACGCGAGGGGCACACGAGGGAGTGCCGACTTCAGAGCCACTCCTTAAATTCTGAACCACAAGGGACGACTTGTTCAAGGACTTTTCCCGTCTGGAAAAATAGGCAATAGGCCCGAAGGACTGAGGATGCACTTTTCCACATGAGAAAGTTTCTCTAGATTTAATTCCCCTCTGAGAGAAGGAAATTGTCCTTAATCCAGAGTCTGAACTCTACCGCCAGATTTCAGCATAGCGACTAGCGGTGGAGACTAAAGCTTCAGGGATCTCCATACTCCATGATAGGAATCCTGGGGTACTAATAGTAACAAAGCGCGACGGCTTTCGAAAGCTCGACTGATACGCGGAAGCCCCGACTGCCGGTGATGTATGGGGCCGGTCCGAATGAGCGAATGGTCAGCAAAAGCGCGGATCGCGTCTATTGTATGCATCTTGAATGCGTGTTCAAAGTGTAGGCTTCTGGAATGACGTCCCACTCGAAATCACTACATGTTATGAAGGATGCGCTCTGTGATGCAAATCCTTCGCCAGTGGACGATTCCGCAATTCTGGTCTCTCGGTCTTTGGCTCAAAGAGAACTTCGCAGCTACGCGGGCGATGAAGCCATGCATCAATGAGCGCTGCGGCCGTTGCCTCAATTTCCATTCTTCGGTGTGTTTTGACGGCTTCCCGCTGTCAGAAGCGTCATACTAGGACTCGGAATAGCCGCACGGAGGAGCTCCCTTTTGAGACAGCTGAGGATCGCCCTCCCTCCGTCGGAATTTTTCCTCCAGAATGTAAGACGTACCCGCCATGCGCGAAGTCCGACCACATCCGAATCATTCTCCTTGATATCATTCCATCGACGAGATTCGTCGAGGGCCGCAAACCGTTTCCTAGAACCTGCGCGGAAAAAGACAATTAATTCTGAGGGCATCGAGACAAAAGATCGGTGTCCGACGACATGTGCTGCTTCGACTCACTTGGAATAAGTACAAGAGCTCGTCCCCGTGCGATGGGCCCAGATTGACACGTCTCGACGCGCTAAGGAAAAGGGAATATCTCAGTCAGGTTCGGAACATCATTTGAGATTCTCGGCAACGTGACCCACTGCAAGGTCGTCGTTCTGAGATTCTCGTTTGAAATTCACCTCGGGCCAAGCTTCGAATCGAGCATGCTGATGTCTCCTCTGTAAGAGAACGAGTACAAGAAGGTCTGCGGCGACGATCTCGCCAGCATAATCGCTGTCTCCAAGATTGGAACCGAATACAGCGAAGCTGTCGACATCTGTAAATGGGGGAAGATGATCGGTTCATTCGAGGCTCCGACCCCAAAGACAGAGAACTTCAGTCGTTTGTGCGCGGTCCACACGGATGGGGGCTCAACACAGACGTGTAGGCGCGCGAAAAAAAGAAAACATGGAAAAGTATGAGCGAATTACAACGGAGCTATCTAGGGAACCTTGGAAACTGAACTTACGTTGACGAACGCTTGGATGATTCCGTCGTGATCCTTATAATTGATACCAGAAAAGTAGCTAAAAATGCAGGATTCGCTTAGTTCCAGGTGACGACTCGATAAATGGCACTTCGGCAAAAAGTAGCTCAAGTCAGCGACCGAGCCACCTTCTCAAACCTTCGTTCGGGGATAAAACATCTTCTCCCAATGAAGTCACCCATGAGAACAACGGGACAGACTATCCTCACACAAACTCAACTGTTTCGTGGCAACGACAATATTTATGCTGCGCTCATTGGCAGTCAAGGAGAGTGGGAGTTTTATCGCAGTGTGTCTCTCGAGAAAACAGCTCCGCCTAAATCAGCTCTTTGCTTTCGTTCAAGCCAGGTCAGAAGTGGGAGCGAAGGAGCCTCTCTTCCAGTCATAGTGAAGAAAAAGAGACTGCGATACGGGAAAAAGAAGCAGTCCTTCCTAAGGATCGATATCGACTCCTTCCGAGATTCGATCAAACGCAGCAGGCCCAGGATGTCTTCGAGTCAAGAAGCTCCTCACTTGGCATGCAAGTTTAGTATCAGCTGAATTCTAATGAGATTACTTGTCAATTTTTACCTCTCATAGATTTCGTCGAGCTGGTCCCGCGTAGGCTCCCTAACGCCAAGAGCGGTTCGGAAATACTTCGGCAGCAAAATATTCCTCACATAATCCTGGTCACTTCCGAGCTCGGTGCGCAGCAACGCTAAGAGCTCGGGATACAAGAAGGCGGTTTCGTGCATATTGAACCTGGAGCACGAATGCCGTTAGGATTTCCGCTGAACACGGAAAAAGATGCTACACAAACAAGATCTCCCCCTCTTACTCACCCGATGAGCGTCGGTACTTTGACCGGGACTCCTGAGCTCAGGAGTTGCGAGAAGCTCGAGGGCACCAAGGCATCGGAGAGGTCCGAATCTATTCGCGGTGTGTATTTTACCGGATAATCGGCGAAGATCTACCGAAGGAAAAAGTGGACGCGTCATGCACGAGCGAAGAGAATATTCTCCGCAAAGCACGCTAGCTTGGGAGCTTCTCTCTCTCTCACTACCTTTGTCTCCTGTTGGAGTCGGAGCAGGTCTCTGATAGGTGTTTTTGTGAGACAAGCCAAAATGTCATGACTTGACAAAATTTCGCAACTTTGGAGGCTCCCGGCAGCGTTTTGAAGCGTTTCGCGTGCGTTGACGTGGAGCGCCGACTCAGCGAGGGGGGTTCCTATTCACGGTACGAATGGTTAATCGACTCAAGCCTTCGTTCAATGCTGCTCGCACGCGTATCACGGTTCGCGACTCGAAAGCTAACGGAATACTTCCTCCCGTTTTCTTAAAGGAGCGAGCGGTTTTCTGTTGGAAGAATTCGGTAACTCCAGAGAAGTTCCACGCGGACAGACAAACTAAGATTTGTTTTGCATTATTTGCACGCGAAGTCTTCATTGCCAAGGTCTGATTCCCCGGAATGGCCGCTGAGCCGATAGTCAATAGACACGCTATCACATCCGGTGCGGACCGACGTGTTCTGGGCGAGCGGTAAGAATTGAAATCCACTGCGACGCTTCCATTGTGTGCTGCGGACGGCGTGTGTCGCTATAGAACGCTAAGCGTGAGCGCCGTTTCCATTGCTGAGGCCGTTATGAGCAGCACTGAAGACCGTCGTTTCATCGCTTCGGGATTCAAGTATGAACGCAAAATAGTGAAATCCGGGCGACCACCGAAATGGTACACGACGATTTTCGCCGACGGACTCACCTGACTGCACGATGAGCCGGTGGAAGAGCCCCTTACTCTGAGGAGAGACGGCGTGCAGCATGACACAAATCGCGCCCGAGCCCTGACCCATTAGAGTCACACGATCCGGTTGACCTCCGAAAACGGCTGGAAAGAGCGCGTGGCTGACTGAGTCCGAGATCCTCTTCCGAAAGTTTGGGTGCAAATCGCTGCTCCTACTCACCGATGTTATCCCGGACCCATTGCAGAGCCAGCAGTTGGTCGCGGAGTCCGAGATTTCCGGGAAGTGCTTCGTCTTCAGTGGAAGCGAAACCGAGAATCCCCAATCGGTAATTGAGGGTGACAACGACGAGGTTCTGGTCAACGAGGGCTTGCGGTCCGTAGTAATTGCCGCTGCCCGAATCGAAATTACCGCCATGGAGGAAAACCAGCACAGGAAACGTGGTTCCCTTCTGCCGGGGAAATGTCACTCATTAAATAAAAACTTTTCTCTCCCGACGCCGCGGAATAGCGCCAGAGGACCGGCGTCGAGCGTTGATTCAGTAGGCGAGGCCCGTTCTCTAGCTCGTCGGTGGCCGGCTCGAGAACTTTCCCCCTCTGAGAGGCTCGCGCTGTCATTTGAGCTTAATTCGGCTGTCCGAAGTCACGAGTCTCGAATTCCCCGCGAATATTCTCGGTGGCCCTGCAACGTAAACTTACCTTGATACCGGGTGTAAACACGTTCAAAAATAGACAATCTTCGCTCCCCACAGGACGGCCTCTGTAGTCCAGTTGAGGGCAAACGTCTCTGAACTCGGTCCCGTCCCAAACACCATTCCAGCCGAGATGGGCTTGAGGTCTCTGTGGATTGCGAGAGGTGAACCAAGATGACGGGGGACTCTCGGTCGAGCTCCAGTTTCTGATTGACTTTCCCAGTACGGGAGCTCGTCTTGTCAAGACCTCCGATTGCACGGACCGACTTTATGAGCCTCAGTGGGGTCTCAGAGGAATTAGAACTCGGAATTTAAATATTATCGGATCTTCCTGTTTTCATGAATACCTATCATCATACATGTCGTACGAAACTAGAATCTCAGTATGAGAGGCCTATTGTTGAGATCCACGGATAAGAAAAGGGAAGGCTTGAGGTTCCTTGGAGAAAATTCCCCCAGTGAATTGTGATCTGAATGGCGTAGGGTAATGGCTGGGGAGATCGGAATGGAAAGGAAGACAGTCTCCGAGAATCTTACCTTGAATCGGAGGTTTGACAGCGGGGGAGCGGCGAAAGGCACTCCAAGAAATGCCACCAAGCCCCGGTCCGACGGGGACTGTACGCGCTTCCCACGGATAACTCCTTGGTCGAGAACGACACGCGTCGGTGAGGATTTCGCAATGTCCGGCGATACTTGCTAAAGTTGGGGGAAATGGGGGCTTGAGGGAGACTTTCGGTCAATCGATTATTCCTCGAGCCGGAAGTTTTAGAGATACGAACCTGGGAGGATTTTGAACCTCCGGGCGGAGGGAACGGGATACGAGGTAGCTCCGACAATCCTGCGAATGGAAACGAGACTCTCAGAAGAATTCGCAACCGCGAGTGACTCGGGCCTCTTGCCAAGACCCCGGTCTACGCTGATTTATTCTCGAACGAAAGTCCATCCGGGAAGATGGGAGCTCGGCCTCGTGTGCGTGATTTCGGAAACGAGCAAATGCATAAGACTCGCTCAAGCCATCGAACGGACGCGTGTACGAGCCCGCAATCAACTCGAAAAGATTAATGGAACCGGGCCAAATTGCAGCGAGAGTTTGCAACTAGCTTTCCCGATTGGGGGAATCTTCACAGAGTAGAAACAATTTTCTTCGGACCACGAATCATCCGAGTGTCCACTAGGCGGAGAGCTGCAAGGTCATTGCGGATGCTGAGGGCAGGACTCCCGTCGCCCCGCACCAAGCACGAAGCTTTGAGATGCCTCGGACCGGGATCTATCCGAGTCCGCGCTCAACCGCTCAGAAGTGGACTTTCCTTGTCTGAGGAGATATCGAGAATCGGGCCCACCTGGGATTGATTTCCCGTGCATCTATCCAAGCCTAGAGATATCACTAGATCAGCTTCGTGGGAAGTGTAGGAGAATTGGAGGAGGTAGGCATGTTTTCGAGGGAAACGGCGTCCAAGAGCAGCACGTCACCATCAGTCGGAAGTCAGATTCTCTCAGCGCATTCGTATCGAATTCTCGCCTAGAAGTTCAATGAGAGGACGAGACTGACTGGGACTTCGGTCGTATCTCCTGAGGTCCCGATGCTTCTGTCCCGAAGAACGTGCGGGGAATTCGAGCTTATGCAAGAGGGGAATAGAACCATTTCCGAAAGCATCACTTTCCCTGTGAGACTGGTTATGCAATCCAACATTCACCGGCCTCAACTGTAAAGGCGCTTGAGGTAGCTCTTCCCAGCGAGAGAGTATGCTCCTCCGAGCGAGCGGCAATTGCCTCCCAGAATATCTGCACCCGCTCCTCGAATCCGAAATATTTGTCCCGCTCTTCAGAGAAAAAAAAGCCTCATATTGTAGTAAGGCGAATCATACTCCGGTATCCACAAAGAGCATAGGAATCGGTAGACGAATCGATCGCCATCATCGTCAGTCCAACTGTGCGGAATTTCATCGGTGTTTCCGCCGATCGCACTTGGAAGACTCGTGCGAACGCGACCAATGAACGACAGTCGATCGCACCTCTCGAAGAGGCGCGCAAGAAGAACTATCGTTCACAATTCGAGAGCGAATTGGTCCTGCGGGGCTCGATGTGCGCAAGGTCGACGAAAACATATCACGCGATCGCGTCATGGGAAATTGCCGGATATGGAGCTAGAAACTCGGAGACGCATGCCGCCAGCTCCCGAACGAGAAAAACGGGCATCTGCGCAGCTCAAAGGCCGCGTGAAGGAGAAACGATCAATGTAGATCCTACTCGGCGCATCGCGTTTGCATAACGAGCAGCAGGAGATGAATTCGCAGTAGCTCGTGCACGCATACCTGGTGTTCACCAGCGGGCATACGGGTCCCGTGGGATAGTTTCAGATGCTGTGTTGCATCGGAAGCATTCCCAGCTGCGGTCCACAGAATAGTCTGAGGCCTGAAGCACTCAAACAGCGATCGAAACCAAAGCTAGCCTCCGATTCACCGTGCCGGAGTTTCAATCATTGCTGGGCTCGGTCAGACCCGAACTCGACTTTCAGTACAGAACTCGGTGTCGCAGAAAAAATGCTCAATTAGGCACATCTCGGTCGAGCGAGGCTCTCGGAATTCGGAGCCTATCATTCCTTGAGCCTCCCCTAAATCCTAACCCTGACTCGGAATTGCACAAGGCACAATGCCATCCGTCGAGTAGCAGTAAGCTCGACTCCGATCAGGTGCTTTTCCACTTTGAATAATCAGACGATCGGTCCCGGGAGAGAGCCGGTCCCCCTCCGGAAAGCGGTTCTCCGGGGAAGCGCCATTGGAACTGATCGACGAATCGGACGACCGACCTCTTCCCATAGGACAACGATGAGATCAGGCGAACCCGATCTCGGAAAAACATTTCTCCATGATCAGCCCGCGGAAGCCGTTCTCTCGAACGGGATTTTCTGCTTGGGAATCTTCTCGCCCGCTAACGGTCTAGGGAGCGGACGGATCTCTAGTACAGAAAATCAGTTTCGGCTCCGGGATTCCGTGGCAAATTTTCTTCCACACCCAGATAAGCCGGTTCTGGAGACCGCGTCCTCGCCGGACATATATCGTTCCCCTCTCCTGACCCGATCGCAGGGCACGCCGCGAACACTAGAGTCGAGCCTTTAGCTCCCGGACTGTCTCACCGACGAATTTCGACTGAGCTTTCCTCTTGTCGGACAGGGCGCATGAGCTCGACATCTCGAATCTAGGCTTGAGCGACACGCATGAAAAAAGTGTCCGGAAGGCATCCACATGCGTTCCGGAATCAGCTGGAAAAATCAGTCTCCTCCCCCGGCAGTGGTGCGGAAGGGGAGGGGCGGCAGGCAGTTCCTGGCCGCTGATGAAGAGCCGGGATCAGCTCCCATGTTATCCTCGGTCATTCCGCCGGAGATAGGGGGTTCAACTGTATCAGTTCTCACCACGTCGGGTTCCGCAATACGTGACTCTCCAACGCGAATGAGTATCGACGCTAATGGCACAGAAATCAATTGAAACTCTATGTGCGAATGGCCGAATCCATTGGACGGGTGTCGTTCCGAAACTCGCCCATGAATGTCCATGGAGAGTTTCATACGGATCGTGGCGTTAATGTCGAGCACCCTTATCACAGACCGACGCTGTAGAATGTGGAAACCCGGGACATCCTCCGGCCGAACGTTCTCGGACGTGGTCCGACCCGTCATGGGGATCATCCGAGAGAGTTCCACCCCCGCTCGCTGACCGTATATTCAAACCGGACGATTTCACTGCTAATCGCGTGAATTATTCACACCAGACGACGACTTCGATCCCTCATTGAGTCCTTGTTCCAATTCGTCTATGGAGACTCTAATCAACGAGGCTGCGGAAGTTCCCGACCAAGTGTCCGGATCTCTGTATGTCCATCGTCCCTTCAGAGTCTGCGGTCCGTATGGACCATATGCACATGTGCATGTACTTTCATTCCCGTCGGAGGCATGTTCTCTGGGTCTGATGGACCTGTCCACGAGGCAAGAAGCTTGTCCCATCAGACAGAACAGCAAGACGCTACTCATCCCCATTACCTACATTACTCTTTACGCACCCTCCTAAGTGCCTACGCAAGCGCTCCAAAAAAATATCTCGAGTTGTTCTGGGAATAAAATCTTCAACATCGTTCTGAGCCGATCGAAAGAAGACGCGATTATTCCTAGTTTACGGCCGTATTGAGCTATCGTTCGGCAATCGACGTGTTTCCCGACCGTTAAAACAGTTCGCAATCACCTGCCTGACTTTCACAATATCTACTGTTCGCGCTATCCTGGCGGAGTTTGCCTGATGCTTATTGCCACCTGATCAGATTCGTCGCAGTCAATATCACTGCTTGTAGAGTAATGATGTTCGGACGTTCGAATATTTGAGGGAAAAACCTACCTAGATTTTCGCGAATGCAACACGACCATAAGGTCTCACGCATGCGCGATGTTACATTGTATCATCCCCCTTATCTAAAATAAAGTGAATGTCTTGGAAAAATATGTTCCTCTTGAAGAGAAACATGTACATCCGGCATTGTGAGCTAATCCATTGTGGGAACCTGTGGTCTCGCATCGATTTCTCCGAGTAAACCGGGGGGGGAGCTTCGTGTATTTACATTAATTGTTCACTTTTTGTTTTCTATTCTCCTTTCCCTCTGAGAGTACGAACAACTTACGAGAGATTATCCCACTTAGTTGAGGCGGCAATTGGCCCAAGGCGGAGCTGCGGTTCATGCTAAGCTGGCACAAAATCCACAGGATGACGACATTCGTGAATACACTGCGAAACCAGGACGCCATGTTCGACCGGTTTCTCGGCGAAGGGGCAGCCGGACGAATCAGAAGATGCCTAGACTTCTCACAAGTGACTCATAAAGCCCAAGGAACTGCACATGTACAGGTTCATCGCCGTGTTGCACACGCTCTCGACCATTCACAACAACATTGTTCGTCGCCTGCTGTCATCGATCTGACTTTTCAGGCTCCACTTTAATCCAGCGGGTCCGGCTGATGACGGGCGAAGGATAGACAGGCGGACTGGCGTAATATGAGAGAGAAAGTAGAGGTCGATTAGTTCCTCGATTGATTGAACGCCACAGCGGAAGCTTGATTCAAGTCTTGAGACGTTTTCTCATCGTCGGGGCGCCCGCACTTCACCACACCCTTTTGTGAGAGCCGAACGATTTCCGCGGTTGAGCATGCTTTGGAATCACTAATATGATTTCGGCGACGATATATCTGCGAACAGCTTTGAGCTAATTCAGGGAGCCCACAGTGAGGGGGAGGCGCGGTTGGTTCTCTCCTTCCGGCCACGATGCCTACGGTAGCGGTGCGGCGGTCGCGGTGGCGCGTATTGTGTTCTGTTCGAGGCATGAAAACCGCTCCACATCGTCGTGTGTGAGTGAATCGTTTTATCAGACAGCTCGCGCATTTTCTTTTTCTGCCGGTCCACGCTCTTGATGAGCAAACAGTCCGCGCGTAAGCCGAAGCTCGTAAAGAAAGCGAACAGAATTTTTTTCATCATCTCAAGTGATTCCCTAACGCGAAACGAATTATTCGCTCACTTAAAGGTGATTGCGGAGGGATTTCTCCGTACTGATTCTAAACTTTGTCAAAATCGACGCGCACATCTGAGTTCTCGGAGTCGGTAGTGAACAGTTCCTCGATGATGCTCTATTTCATTCCGGAAATATCTATTTTGCGGGGGCTCAGAATAACAAACATCCCAACAATCGAAAACGATTCTGGGAATAATTCCTGTTCTCTCTGAGCTCGCCTGGAGCCGATTGATTCCTCCGATTGTGCGGCTCTGTGAGGTCAGGAGGGATCAACGTGGCGCCAACTTCCTGCGGAGCAAAATCCGAGTCCATCTGGCTTCCACGGCGAGAATGGCGGCTCTCTGGCGCCTACCGATGGAATTGCAGCCGGTGAAAGCTGAGTTGGGGTGAACTTGCGATTCTGACGGGATACGGCTGAAAAATTTCTCCTATAAAGGATTTTTGAGGCCCGAGCCCCTCCGAGAATTCTCGCTCGTGACTACCACAAACAGAGACCAATGTCCAGTCCGAAGTCGCGGTCTCCTCGTAAAATCGTCTTGACGCTGTCCCCGAAAGTAATATTCTCCGGACGCTTCTCTCCTCGATGTTAGTATGCGGTTGCCGCAAAATTTCCCCTCGACCGGCCGAGCACTCACCGTAAGGAATAAAGTAGTTCCCATAGTATGTGCACCTTGCTGACTCGACAACTGGACGAAGTTCCTCCTGCATGATGTTCATACGTTCAGATGAGCCAAATATTCTGCAACAAGGCCGGGTGAGTGCGTCGAATTTCTTCCGATCATTCACAATCCTACTCGTCCGCCTTCTCGAGTCACGAAGCATGATTTCCTGTAAGGTCCTCTCGTTTGGTTTGAGCTGGGATGCACTGTGTGTCAAGACCGATTGCACTCACGTGCTTCTTCGGCTGAAGTAAGTCAACCGTGTGAGACAACCCGTGTGTCAAGACGTCTAGTGGGGGTGCGATTAGGCGAGCATGATTCCATCTGCATCTACGGATTGACTCTGAAAGTACATACACAACTAACGGACGCGTGACTGACTGAACTGACTAACGTGTTCGACAGTCGAAGCGGGTCGAGCAATGTCCTCTCTGCGCAGAAATTGGCGTGTCGGCATGCCTGAATTTGGAATCCCCCGAAGCTCGTACCCTCACTAACCGCGGACATTCGTGGAGTTAGTCCCATTTTAATTTAAATGAGAAGAGCTTCTCCCATCCCAGCAGATGAGCGAGCTCCCTCTTAGGGTAACATTCACAAAGAAGGCAGATCACCAATGATTGCTCAGGAACACAGACAATTGAGCTGCCTGGAATTTTCAATCGAATCCTTTAGAAGGAAGGCTTCCCTAGTAAGCTTTTCCGGAGCACTCTGATCGATTTATTGACTTCCTTCTGCATTCCTGCACTCGAGGTGGCGGCGGTATGAAGCTACAGGCTGTAGTCGCTCCCAACATCGGTGCGCTATTTCATTCAGGACCCGAGAACCCTATTGAAGAAAATTGGGATAATAAGCTTTCACGCTTGCCTAGGCTCTTCTCTAGGAGCTCCTCGACTAGCTCGCACTCACAGTATGTCGCCGTGGCCGTCGCCAACGCTCACACGAAGAACTAGGGAGAGTTCTCGATTTCTGTGCGGGAGGAGAAACGGGTAAATTTCGATAGGATTGAGGCTTAGAGAACAATAGAACAGAATCCATGGAAGGTCATTGGCCCGTGAGCTCCTTACGACTCTATGGTCATCGGTTCTCGAGGGCGCGGAAAGGGACAGACTTTGTTCATCTAGATATCGGTGCTTGTTCTTCTCCGCCTCTACACCGAGGTAGCGCTCCCGCGGGATCCCAATCGGGGTATCGAAGATAGAGAGTTTTCGGTGAGATCGGAGTTTTGCATTCTTGACCTCTTGGGTAAGCTCGGACTCATTAAATTCGACCTGAGGCGTAGCTCGCTTCTCCAGCTACTCGAGGGAGGTATTGACTGCTTTCCTGGGGCGTCTCGCGAATGATCATGTTTCTCGAAAATACATCTGATCCATAGTAAGACTGAAGAAATTTCGAGAGGGCCGATCCATAATAGACACCGACCCTCGCGGGGACGATTTCGTGAACTTCCATCTCCCGAGATTAGAAGTATAATGCGAGAGCGAGAGCTCGACGCTCGAGTTTTGGGATCCTAGATGTCGTCATGTTCACGGAGGTCATGAAGAGCTCGCACACATGAGTGCAGCTTCCGAATGAGACTTATGGGGTAAGAACGTACCCCCCCGAGGCCGTCGGGAGAGAAAGAAAATTCCGGAGAGCATATGACCGGAGTACGAAGTGATGCTCGTGAAGGGAGAAACCGAAGAACAAGCGGGTCTTCTTTCGGTGAGAATTCGAGGAGCTCTATCTGCGGGCAGGTATTCTGCACGGAGAGATATCATCCGACAGTCGGAAAAGAAGGAACAATTCCTCGTGTCCTCGGGGGATGCGGAGCCCGCTCTCGTATCGCTCCCGGGCTTTTGTATATCAGGTTCTCAGACGTGTTCAAGATTTTCTCCATCGCTCCCATCCCCACCGGACGGTAGGGGAGTAGGTTTTTAGAGAACTCCGTTCCCTTGTATGGTTCTTCAGAGGAAAGTGGCGATGTCGGCTGTGTCCATGGCGTTTCC